ATTATTTGACTAGTTGGGGTTTGCTACCACTATGGTCTTTCTAAGCTCTCATGATGTTAGTAGCCACACATTTCTAAACATGGTGGTGCTAATTTGTGTTCTTCCCTTCTGAACCTCATCCCAAGATTACAATCTTTTAGATTTTGATTGCCTTGATTTTATGTGGAGCTGAGTTTGCTTCATTGTTTGGGTGATCTTTGTTGGGATGGTTTTTTATTTGTCCATTTATGAAGCATAGACATTGATACATAACATGGATACGGCATGACACGGATATGCCGACATGACAAATTCCAAAAAAGTAGAATATGGACACGGTTTGGAATGCCACAAATACTTATTGATATTATATTATCTAAGAATATTATGTTATTTAGTTATACATGTGCATAATATGTGCAAAATTAAATAATTACTTTATACTATGTAAATTTTATATAAATTTTCAGATTACTACAATAGTAGTTAAATATCAGACAAACTATAACAAGCATATATATTGCAACATTTCCATCATCCTCTTAAGACATTTGCTAATGCATTATATGTCTTTCTCATTTTTCTATTAAGTTTATGTGAGACTTTTATAGGATTATTCTTAATAATTTTAAGTGTAAGAAATTTATGTCAAGCTCTTAAACTTTTAAAATCATGTGTTAGCAAATATTCAAGAAATGTGGGTCTCTTAATATATTTTTTGTGCTTATGTGCGCTATTCTCCAATTTTTTGCCCCATGTAATGGTTCCCTCAAACTCAATTTGGCACCCTGAAACATTTTGGAAAACTTAAACTTTATAAGAGTTGCCTTTCAAAATTCGATGGCTGTCGCCAAAAAATTTAATTTGACATGTGGTTAAAAATCCATTAGTAATCACTAGTTAGGAAAAATTACAATAAACAATGAATATAATCTACTTGATTAGTGTGAAATAATATTAATATAAAAAACTTTTATTAAATTAGTTAAATTATATTAGAGAAAAAGAGATTGGTTTTTTATGTGGGTTCTAATAGTTTTTTAATTGGACCATTTGTGGAATCTATGAACCTAAGAATATTAAATAATCATATAGGCTTGTGAGAAATGAGTAGCATGTCTAAATTGAGATTAGTCTCTTATAATTTTTAATTGGGCCAATTGACCTATATTAAGTAATATTTTAGTAGTTAATTGATTAAAAAGACTCGATCCACTGACTACCCTACGAAATCTTCCCTATGCCTTCCTTTTGGCAGCTTGGCCCCCTCAATGGAGTCCTAGCTATGCCTCCAATTACTATCTAGATATGGGCTCGTGGTCAAAGGCTGTGTCCTCAAGGCTGAAATCTTATTATTGAGATGCCTTCATGCTTATGTAGGGGGCCGATCATATTTATAGTGTGGAATCATCTAGTTTGTCACTTACATACTCATGTTACTACAAACAATTAATGGACCGTTTGAACTTGTCATCGAAGAAATTTATGATGGATATATACACTAGCACAATTATAAATAATGACTAACGATTTATATGGTTGTATAGAAAATGATTTATTTAATTTTAGATGTTGAATCATGGAGTTAGTATTTTCTTGTTCCTAAAGGGCAGTGAATATGCCAAACTTAAAAATTCAAAATTGCAAATTTTAAATTACTAGAATTAAGATCCAACTTAAAAAATGTATTGTGATTTGAATCATGCAATCCATAAAATGTAAGCATGACAGAGAGACGCAAGCTCTAAGGTGAAAATCTCGAGGGGAACACTTATAAGGACAGAAATCACTATCCCAATGAACCCATAAAATCCACTATTGAATAAAGAAGTACATGACTAAAGATGATAGGAATTACAACCTTTTATCCGATCACCTAACTCATTAAGTACACCACAAATGCTCTGTGTGCTTGATCTGCAGTCCATGAAGCCATGGTCCTCTTGGCCTCTTCAGATCCAATTGTATGTAACAAAGCTCTTCGCTCTAACCTCCATACTCCTATGGCTTCATCACTTACGGCCAAGAGTGTTGAAAGGATAAAAAAAAAGAGGATACTCATGAGGGACTTTATGCAAAAATTACTCAACCTAGATCATGTAATCATTGGAAATTTTGTTTCTAGATTAAGCAGAGCACAGGCTTCAACTAAAGGCTCCTTGAATAAGGTTTAAAACTCTCAAGAACACTCAAGGATTCAATAGACTGCTATATCTCATGTATCTCTATTTATCAAAAAAAAAAAAAAAAAAATCTCATGTATCTCTAACTCTGGAAGAGTAAAAATATGTACATATAGGCGAGGGGAGTTCAAATTCGAAGAAAAAATGAGTAAAAGTAAGTACACCACAAATGCTGTGCGCTTGATCTGCAGTCCATGCAGCTATGGTCCTCTTGGCCTCTTTAGATCCAATTGTATGTCACGAAGCTCTTCAACCTCCATACTCTGATGGCTTCATCACTTTTGGCCAAAAGTGTTGAAAGGATAAAAAACGAATACTCATGAGGGGCTTTATGCAAAAATTACTCAACCTAGATCATATAATCATTGGAAAATTTATTTCTAGATTAAGCAGCACACAGGCTTCAACTAAAGTCTCCTTGAATAAGGTTTAAAACTCTCAAAAACACTCAAGGATTCGATAGACTGCCATATCTCATGTATCTCTATTTATCAAAAAAATATCTCATGTATCTCTAACTCTAGAAGAGTAAAAATATGGAGTTCAAATTCGAAGAAAAAATGAGCGAAAATCCCACGTGCCGGTCTGAATGAGGGTGTTGAGTGGACATCTTTGAAGAGGTTGTGTGCCCTCAATATAGGCAAGCATGTGTGCTCGCTTGAGCACACCATCAAGCGGATCTTGCAAGACTTCTGCTGAGAATACCCTACTCAAAGCGCTTGGTTTGTCGGTTTGTAGCCCATGCCTGTTCACTTTATTAGGCGAGGCATCAAGTGAACCCTGGAACTTTGATTTTCTGGGAACGTTTTCATTTTAAAATCCATGCAAGTATATTGAGTTGAAAAACATATGTAGTCATGGGGCCTACTTAAAAAAAAAGATTCCCTAAAGCTAATGTAAGTGCTCATGCAGGATTATACCTTTAAATGTAATGGAGCGACAACTTTGCATCAACTTCAAACCTATCATCATCAATCATGACATATGTGCATCCAATTTTTCTCTCATGGAAATTACCATCCTAACCTAAATGTACTCTTAAAAGATATCTTGTGGAAGGAAAATAAGAAAAAACCAGTTTTGTATCGGTTGGTATGGCCGATATTTATGCCGCTTTACTCTTCAGTGTATATCTTACTCTGTGTTCACTCTTGTTATGTTTGCTCTGTTCTCGCGCCATAAACTTCAGAACTACTGATTGGAGGTTCAATACAAGACCTTGAAGCTCAATTTTGGCCATTCTTCACTGATGCACTTCACTGTGATTGGCTGACTTTTCCCTAATTTTTTACCCCCAACTCTTGCTGCGATTCTTGCTTGTCTTGCTGTGATTCAAGGTTTTGAAGCTTGATTTTGGCCTAGAGGCCTTTGGTTATTCATGGGTTTGCTGTTTCCCTCATTATCTTGCCCTCTCTTGCTGCAAGGCCTGTGACTCTGATAAGTAGTGTATAATATATGTGCATCTCTAAGGATTGACATGACTGTGTAATTGGTCCCGTTGGTCTTCTTGCAGTGTAGGTGTGCGAGTGTGATAGACTGATGGTGCAGGGGGTGTGTTGACCGTATGCATATGTTGTGGGTGGGGTTGATTGCCATTTTGTCAATTGGTGTGGGTGTTAGAAGTCAGGACAGTGTGGGTGTTATGGTGATTGTGATATGAATCTGCAGGTGTGGTGCATGGTTGTTTGATAGCGTGGGATGTAGATCAATAAATTACTAATTAGATTAGTAAATTCTGATTTTAATGGGTGTGGTGCATGGTTGTGTGTGATGGTGTGGGATGTAGAATGTAGAATGTAGATTAATAAATTAAATTTGATTAGTGAATTCTGATTTTGAAGAAATTTAATAACCAAGTTAATTTATTGATAAAATATGAGTATATAATTTTAATTTTTTTTTTAATATCCAAGTTAATTACTTTACCTTTTAATATTTGTGAATAGTGGTGGTAAAAATCCCTTACTATATTTTTTCCATTTTTTTTTTAATCTTAAAACTACATAAAACTCAATAATATTTTACCAAACATGTTTCAGGGACCAGAAAATAGATTAAAAAACATTACTAACATTCAAATTATGATAAATAAAACATGATTATCAATAAATTTGTTGGCATTAGCTATTGCTTGAAAAAATTCAGGAGTTTGATTTCTGAATCTTGTTCCACATTGGTCGATACTTATTACGTGGTCCGCTTTATTATGATGCACATTCAAAAGTAAGTTTAAAGAAAACTTAATGCAAAAGGTATCTAATAGTAGGGAGAAAAACATATGACTGTAAATTATATTTTTCACCATTAGTTAATGGTAAAATGTTATATATATGGGGTTGGAAAGCTGAGTTTGTGTATGCGTTCATTTACTTGTTTATAATGCTTTGCTTATCAAAAGTTGAAAAGGTGAAAGTAAACATAAAACTATTAGGATTGTCACACAAAGTCCAGACAAAGATCTGTTTGATTTCATAGCTATACATTCTGATTATATTTCAACTATAGAATGGAAAAACAAGTAATGCTAGTTCTGCATGAAGCAGTAGTTGCAGTCTTCATTAGAAATTATATGAACCTATTTTGGTAACCTGGTATTATTGTTTCATGTCTCTGCAAGTCACTGTCTATGCTTAATTAGAAAATATGTAGCCTCCCTAAGGTAAAGCTTTTGGCAGAGCCAATAACTTAAAGCTTCTATAACATCTTTAAATTTATTATTATCATGGTTATCATATGTTTAATCAGTGAATGTGTTATCATTATTACTATTTTTTTGGATAACTTATTTTTATTTATATTTATTCTTATTTATATTTTTCTCTTGGTGTTGTATGGCAGATTCAGACTCTGGCAGTGAATCAGATGGTGGCAGAGCTTCGGTTCCTGCAATTAGTACAAAGGTACATCTTGATAGCATTGAATCTGGATGAACTTTAATGCCTGTTTGTTAGGTTGTTATGGTGTAGGTTAAATATTACTTGTTCTTTGCCATCACCCTCTGTGCATGCATGCGTTAATGTGCAAAGTACTTATGTTGTCTCTGTTTCCCCTATGGTAGGAGAACAAAGGCTCTGGAGCAAATTTTGAGCAGAAGATAGATGATTTTGGAGATCCAGACATTGGAAATCGTGAGTACCTTTGCTATGTGATCCTTTTACTTGTACTTGGGACAAGATATGGTTGATATTTTGGTGGTGTTTGGAAGAGTTTTGGAATTATGATTTGCGAATAGAGTTATGTTTTGAGTTTGTGAGTTTTGAAATTATGATTTGAGTGTGGAAAATTTGTTTGGTTAGCAGTTTTGAAAAGAATTTTGAATTGAGTTTGGAATTTTTGATGTGACATGATATTTGATACAAAAACTTATAACTCATAATCAAACGCACAACTCAAAATTCTATTCAAAGTTTATAAATTTTTTTTAAAAATTCTGAATTTTTTTTTATTTTTATAATTTAAAATATAAAAAGAAGTTAGCACTGTTCCGGTCAACTGGCTAGACGTCCGGGAGGACGATCAGTTAGTCTAAATTTTTGTCTTGAAAAAAGTTTTCAAAAGGGGATGTGGAATTAATTTTTGAAAACTCTAAACAAACAAAACACTCAAAACAAGGGGTGAAAATATGTTTGGAGGAGCTAACCAAACACAGCCTTTATTTCTTCATGCTAGTGTTTTGTAGGATTCTGATATTTTCCATGTTTCACAGATTTGTTAAATGAGTTGAACCAAGTTGAGCAGAATTCCCAGCCTAAAGCAGTTGCCATTGAGGCCGAAGGTTGTCAAGGCGGTAAGCATTGAAAATATGAAGAAACTGTGTACTGTTAGTTTTGCAGCAGCATCTCACCCATAATGCTATAACATTTTAGGGGAGAGTGCTCCACTTGGGAGGCAAGTCTCCCCCGACAAGCTTTATCGTGCAGCTTTGTTGAGAAGTCGTTTTGCAGACACCATACTCAAATTTCAGGAAAAGACTCTTGAGAAGGTTGGTTACAAAATTGGCATATCTAACCCCGTTTGGTTGTGTTTTTGTTCCCCAGTTTTGTGTTTTCATTTTCCGGCCAACACAGAAATTTGTTTCACGAATTGGTTCCTAGAACTATTTTCAGATTTTTTTTCTTCTAAATTTAACACTTGTTAGCTAACAACAAGAAGTTTTCGCACAAAAATTATATAATATGAAAATGATGACTGTTTTTGAACATTTCATTGTTTTTGTTTTGAAAAACATGAAAAACAAAAATAAAGAAAACGGAAAACACAACCAACCAGTTCGGTGTGAAGTTTCATTGTGAGCATTATCTGAGATGTGTGGTGGTCACTAATATATTGTGATATGCCGAGTCCAGGGTGAAAAGCAGGATCCTGAGACCCTGCGTCTTGAGAGAGAGGAGCTTGTAAGACGTAGAAAAGAAGGTTGTGATCTGCATTTCAACATTAGAGTTGTATTTCTATCAAATGTAATGATTCCATTCTCCTTGATTTTAGCCACATAACACTTTTGCACATCTGGTGTTCAGAAAAAGCTCGTTTACAAGCAGAAGCCAAGGCTGCAGAACATGCTCGAAAGAAAGCTGAAGCAGAAGCTGCAGCTGAAGCCAAAAGGAAGAGAGAACTTGAGAGAGAAGCAGCACGCCAAGCTTTGCAAAAGGTAAACTAGGCTCGTTATAATATGCTATAGAGCAGAACATAACTGCAAATTGCTGAAATTTTCATGCCATTTGCAGATGGAAAAGACGGTTGATATTAATGAGAATTGTCAGTTTATGGAAGATCTAGAAATGCTTAGGGTTGCCCCTGCTGAAATTTTACCGAGCTTCACAGTTGATTCCACCAGCCCAGAACATTCCCAAAATGGTCTGGGTAGTTTCAAATTCCAGGGAAGTAGTAATCCCTTGGAGCAACTTGGTTTGTATATGAAAGTGGATGATGAGGAGGAGGAAGAACCTGAGCCCCAAACTGTTCCAGATGCAGATACAACAAATGATGCGGAGGAAGGGGAGATTGATTGATTAATTGTTTAACCACTTTGCTTTGCCTACACAATTGAGGTGCATAACCATGACTGGAGACTCTTGAACTCAATGATTGCTTGGCTATGCCGATGGTTCTCTTTTCTTGTCCTCCCTGATTTTATGTGTGAAGATGACACTGCTGATCTTTCTTGAGTTGCTGCAACAAGCATCTGAGCTTGAAGAGAACGAGATGAATATTTTGGAGGATGCATGGTGTGCCTTTGTTTTGGACAGGGGACGACAAAAGTTGAAGCGGAACTCATTTTTTAAGGACTCGCTATATGCCTGCAGGGGGGGTTGTTTGCTGGTTGGATTCTCTTGGAGAGAGTTTTTGTATCAATGGAGATTTCATCTTCGATCACTCTCTTTCTAGGTGTAAAAATGTGAACCTTTTTATTTGTAAACCCAGTCCTCTGATCAACAGATGCAGTTGGGTGCTCTGCATTATGATGATCTGAAAGCAATTTTGTTTCTTGCTGGTAATGTGTCTATTACTTCTGGGGTTGGATCCTTGTAGAACAATCAAATTTAAAGTGGAAAATATTGGTGGAATTTCCTTTACTTTTGCGAGTTCCCCTTTTTTCGCAAACTAATGAACAAATCAGCAGTTTATTTGATAAAATAGTGTAATTATTATGAACTTTTGAGATCAAGGCATAATTTTTCAGAAAGGAAATTTGCTTCTTTTTTTTTATTTTATTGTGGGGAAAAAAAAAATAAATAAATAAAGGCAACAAATTTCCTTTGTGGAAATTTGCTGTTTAAATAAAGGAAAATTCTACTATACTCTTCTCTTGAAAGAGGGGTACTATATGCATTTATAATTATGTCATTTTTTTTTAATTATAATTTATTGAATCTTTAATTATGTCTTATGTAATGTTTGATTCTGATTTTTTTTATTTTATTTTAGTTAGGATTCAAAAAATATAAAGTTATGTCATTTTTTTTAAAAAAAAATTATAAAATGTATGTGGTACATATCTTTTGAGATGTATATAATAGTTTTTCTCATAAATAAAAAAGATGTCAGATGGCCATCCCCTCAGTTGGGTCATCGTCCCACCAACAAGCGAGACAGCATGGGAGGAGAAAAGAGAAAGGAAGCAGAGGGAGGAAGGAAATTAGGTAAGAAAGGCAAGGAACTCACCATTTTCTAAAATTTAAATTAAGCGAGGAAGGAAAGTACCTAAAAAAGTTACGGAATTCAGCATTCTCTAATATTTATAAGAAAGGCAAGGATCACACAAAGTGAGTTCCTTACCTTTTCTTAACTACTTTCCTTCCTCCCTTTTATAAATATTAGAGAATGGTTACTTTATCGCCCTCTCTCTCTCTCTCTCTCTGTGGATTTGGGCTGTTACACTAACTCCTAACCCACCTACCCCGCCACCCCACCCAGCCACCTCCCCCACCACTTCCCAGTCACCACCTACTGCCACCTCCTTTGATCAGTAAGCGAAATGCGAACTAGACATAAGTGAGCTTCCAAGTTGAGTGCAGTTATAGATCTTACAACATGTTTCAACCCAATAAAAAATGATTGAAATACACACTCTACTGAACATTTTATTGTTGACTTAAATGATAATTCGTTAGTAGGATACCTTAGCAACTTAACCGGACTTTACACGTTATAAACAAATGTGTGATAAGTGAGAACTAGATAATGTAATTCTTGTTGTGGCTTCTGGACTTAAAACTGAATATTCTTTTTGTGCTTAAGCAATAGGAAGCTAGAACTAGTTTAGGGTAATACTGCTGGGTAATTCTGTCTTTGGCACACGTTTATTTATGGGTAGAGTTTCATTTAATAAAGATTAGTTGGTGGTTTCTTGGCATTGAAATATTTACTAGTCATTCCTTTTGCATCTTAACAAGGCCTAAATGCATTGAAATGTACATGTTGATTAACTTTTCGCACTTAGGCCTGGTTTGATTAACATAATTTTATGAAGCACAGACACTTCCTCAGGGCTAGCGTATTAGTGTCAGATACGGACACTCGTCGGACATGCTACAGACATGTGTCCGACACCTAAGGTGTCATGACCCAAACCCACCCATAAAAGTTCAAGTCATAACTGGTCAATAATCACTCAACTACTTATGGCCTCGTATAGTACACAAAATATTTATAATTATGAGGCTTGAAGCGGAACCAAACTTAAGAAATAATGTCTATTGAGCGGTGCTTAGATGGTCAAAATAAAATACATATATGCATAGGAGTCAAGACATTAAGTTACACATCCACAAGACCAACATAACAAATACCAGACAAAGTCTTAACATAGGCATAAAGTCAAAAGACAACAACTCCATCTTGGAGTTTCGACATGACAGGCCCTCATAAGCAATTTCCTAAGATTGACTCAAAGGTTGATTTCCACACTGATCACCCACATACATACAGCATAGGGAGTGAGCGACGCTCAATGAATAATAGTAAGGTTAAGAGAATCATATGAATAATCTTGGATTAAAAGAAAGCATAATATGTGAATACGGTACTTTTCCAAAATTACATTCTTTATAACATTATCCATAATCACATTTATAGAACAGCCTTAGGCCTAACATATTACAGAGCGGCTTTAGGCTCAACATATAATAGAACAGCCTCGGGCGCACGTATGACAAAAAGGCCTCAGGCCCACATGTATCACAACAGCCTCAGGCCCAACGTATAACAGAACGGCCTCAGGCACACGTATGACAAAAAGGCCTCAGGCCCACATATATCACAACAGCCTCAGGCCCACACATTAACAACTGTTTAGAACGGCCTCAGGCTCACACATTAACAACTGTTTAGAATGACCTCAGGTCCAATAGTATATTATCATATCATTAACAGAACGGCCTCGGGCCCAAGCACATCATAACATAAATGGGACAACCTTAGGTCCATATTGCACACATCATATAACATTCATAAAACTCATACGTTTCGGTCAAAACACAATGTTGGAATAAATCACCATTCATGGATCAAAATAAGTAATTGAGAACATATCGTTAAAATACTATTACTCACAGTGCGTTTGGTCTTGCGGCGTCTCCTCTAACATAAGACCTACACAACATTTCACACAAACACATTCGATAAATAATTCGTTCCATTTCGTACACTTTTCTTTTAATGATTCACATCCTTTTTCAATGTGTGTTTATTCATCAATTCGTTTCCCATAGCGTTTAAATATGGTTGAGAATGCGTTCAGAAGGTCGGAGAGGTCCACAAAAGGAAGCAGAATTTTTCCTACTAGCCGCTCGTGCAACAGGCCTCATCGCTCGAGCAGTCAGGTTCTGCTCATGCAGAAGTGGTGGCCGCTTGAGTGAGCAGAATGCTCTCCCCCCGTTTTGGTTCATGCTCCATTTGTGTAGAGCTTGCAGTTGCACGAGCGGTCTGGGAAAAACCAGACAGTTCGAAAATGAGCTTCATACCCCAAGTTTCTAAACCCAATTTCAAGCCCAAGATTGTGCAAAACTAACTCAAAATCATGATACACTAACATGATTCAAGTGTAATTTCAACTCAAACACATCCATCTTGCTTCAATGTCAAAGTTAAGGTCTCATCTTTTCTATATATGCAAGAATCTCATGATAAAGTTCATAATATATATAATACATGGATGATCTAACACAAATCCTTGTTGTAGGAACAATCTAGAGCTTATCTCATGAATTATTCTCAAGATTGAATTCAAAGCAAACAAAGTTAAAGAAATGAAGGCTCAATTTCTTGAATTTAGCTCAAAGGCACTCTTAACCCAAAACCCTAACTCATTTGGGTGTTAAATCTTCAAATTCCTTTTTGATTTCAAACAAAGATGAATTATTTACAAGGATTCTAGATAGATTTTCATACCTTAGCTCAAATCTAGAGTTTTCTCCTTGAATCTAGTAATCTCCCTTGATTCTCTTCTCAATTCTTGGACTCTCTCTCTCTCTCTCTCTCTAGAGTTTTGTTGATATAAAATGAGCTCAAGACTTAACTTAAGTCTTCCTATCCATACATATATAATTTACGCCCATGGAACTTAAGTTATCTTAATCTAGAATTTAGGCTAATTTAACCTAATTAATTCATTATGAATCATAATTTTACAAAATTTCATAGTAGGCTCTAAAAATCATACTAAACATAGATATGAAGTTAGTTTTGGTTTTTGGCACCTCTACGATTTTCCATTTTCAGTTCAAAGTTGTAACTGCAATAGATATTCATACACTCAATAGATATAAGTTCAAAATCACATAATTAACATGCAAATTCATATCAAACACAGAATCGCATACATAATTAAGCATAATACGGGTTGGGTTATCACAGTCTTCCTCCTTTTAGGAAGTTTGATCCTCCAAACTTGTTTACTCGTATGAAAAACAAATCATATATCGTGGTCTCGTTACTTTTCCCTCTTTCTTTTTCTCAAGCAACTTCCGTACTTGTCGATGTTCTCATCACAGAAGTTCAACTCAGCCTTATTGCATGGTTAATAACCCAGGTTTATGATTCGTCCCAGTGTGTATTGGCATTAACAACTATTTAGTAGATCTCGAAATCAACCTCATAACATCAAGCCGCAAAACATAATAACCATGACACATTACTCTCATTTATCACATCACTTAGATACTTCTAATTAGATAACCACCTATTTGCTAGTAATTCACATATTTCACATAACCCACATGGCTCCAATTAGTCAAGGCTTGGTCATAAAAAATAGTTATGATTTTAGTAAATTCCTAATAAATCAAAGTATTCCTTTCTTGGCACCTCATATGAAGTCTTCCAACTAGATCAATGGTGATACAACATTGATAGGACGTTAATAACAAGGGCAATCCTCGATCCACCAATTCCTTTGCAACCATAATCCAAACATTCATTTGTATACAAGTCATAATCCGTCAATAGCACCTTAATTAGGGTGAGGATTTCTTCCATGGGTTCCACAAGAAAAACTATTTAATCTCGGAGGGTGAACACTACTCGTTTATAACCCAATGGATTGAAATAAAAGAACGAGTCATGAATTAATCACTATGAAAATGTTTGTCCATAGGTAGTAAGGTTTCCTAATAATGGTTTAGGCAAATCAGAGCATTTTCATTCCACTTGTTTTAACAACTTTAGATTAAGTTTCAACTGTCCAAGTAAAATTGTTACAACTTTACCAATAATCGATTAAACAACCATAAGGAGTTCAATTATAATTCAGGTCTTCTTACACTTTACAAAACATAGTCATGTTAATCTCTTACCCTGTTCACATACATTCCCAAGTCAGCAAGGATAACACTGAACAATCAATCATAATTCTCATATCCCTAAAGTATCAATTATAAGGTATGCTAATACTGAGTCAAGTACAAAATGAACAAATTTGCATACTCCTAGATAGTTAAGGTTTTCCCAAGTAGTTTTCATAGTCAAATAATTCAGGATTAACAATTTCCATAGCATCAAGTCAAAACACGGTAACACAGAAGTAGCAATTTGGTCAATTAATCAATTGTCAACTCCCATAACCTACTCCATCTATACCACATACCCGCTCCATAGTTGAATGTTGGTTCTTAATAGTGTTCATGTCTGTTGTTGGC